TTTTGAAAAATTTAGAAATGTTTGGCGGCTGGTTTGTGCTAAGGCTGGTGATATAGTAAAGTAAAGGACCCTTATCCGCGCCTTCAGACTATAGGTCATATAGGGCTAGACCTAAATTGTATAGACCAATTGGCACAAGATAGGTGATGTGGTCACCATCATGCCGACCGCCTTTGCTTCACGATACTGCACCCGGTACCCACTCAAGGCTGGGTGGACCTGGAAGTCAAGATCCTTTTTTTCTAAAAAAATATGGCCGCTCCGCCACGGCCTGGTGATATACCTTATGCAATAATTGAGCATGTCTGCTGCTGGCATATTGTGATCGACACCTTCCATCAACGACAAACCGAAATGATGGTTGCGGTCCGCTTTTGTTGGCACTCCAGACAGCTGCTTTGTTCATACTTTGAGTGTTTTGTTTGTTTATAGATTTCCCTAGGACTTTATGTCTTTACACTATTTTTTAAACAGGACAGAAACGTGTAGTTTGTCCTATTTCTAGTGGTACGGAAACGGGGCAATTATAGAGTGACCCAGTTGCGCTAAAGTTGAATCCTCTGATACCTATAATAACGTCCAACGGAAAGATGCTTCCTGTTCTTCGTTCTCTACAGCGTTCGCTCTTAAAAGAGCGGTTGGCACGTGGTTTTATATTTACAGATGGGCTGCATCATCTGTGCCTTACGTTCCAACAATCATTTTTCAACGAAACATAATTACAGTTTACGAAATAGTGGTAAGGGTTGGGAGCAGTTGGTCAAGGCGTTGCCTCTATTGGGGCCATAGAACCCAAAAAGGAAAAACAGGGAGGAAAAATGGTCTAATCCCTGGTCGATGACGCAAGTTCTGTCCCCCATTGCGAACGTGTGTAACTTTTTTTTATGATTAGCGTTTCCCTGCAGTATACCTCAGCGGAAGGATCTATCTGTTAATCAACTTCAGGACGCTGGTCGTGTTTCTAGGTCTTGAGTATTGGGTGCGCATATTTTTTCACAGATCTTGCATATGTGTAGCGAAGACTGTTGGTTTCTCCTCTACCAATCAGACAGACTCAGACTTCTAAGGGAAACCACCATAACTTGAAGCCTTTTATGATATGCTAATTACTGGGAGGGGTCAGTGGACATTCTCATCTCACACCCTCTTCCCCCTCCCTTTTTTGTGTGTCCCTAATCCAAAAAGGGAGCATCTGACGCCACAGGGGGAGCACAATAGTAAAAATCTGGGTGGCTTCGTAATGTCTTTCCCTAAACATGAGAAATCCACGGGAGAGTCTAATATTTCAGGGGGTGATCGATAGGCTGCATGCTGTCATGGGCCTAGACTGCACTCTCTCGTGGGACGTAGGTGGGAAGGGGTTAGGGCCAGTTCTAGAAGTGTTGGGATCGTTAAAAGCATCAGACAGCCGTGAAACCCAGTCTTACCACCTTTTAATTTGTTGGTCTATCATGTGAGATTATCTTAAGGTAGGATATTACGAAAAGAACCAACATTTATTCAAACGCAGGTCAAAATTGAAGACCAACTTTTCTCACAGTTTGTTCCAGTGTAGCCGGCCTTACATCCTATGACACAGGCCCCAGTCACTTGATCACATGACGTCATGTTTGTATTTCCGGTTGCCAGACAATGTTGGCTGCAATTTGACTTGCAGTCCTCGCCGTAGCTTTCAACCTCGCACTCTGAAGCATTGCAATGCATACCATTTTAGTGTAGAACATGTTTCTTTTTAATTAGGATGCTTGTCAAAACATCAGTGTCACTACTTTTCTGTCCACCATTATCATTCCGGTATCATCATTATCTTTTCTTCTTCTGCTTTGTCTTCATCTTTTTCTTATTCTTTTTCTTCTTGTATATGATATGTATGTTTGCGCGTCGCGTCTGTGTTACATGTATGCATGTGTAGGCATGTTTGTACATGTATGATTCTGATTATGTTGTTTGTCTGTTTGTGTATCTGCGTGTGGGTGGGTGTGGGTCTGCGAATGTATGCGTCTGTGTGTCCTTGTGTATATGTCTGTATGTGTGTATGCGCGCGAATGACCACGTGTATGTGTCAGTATAATTGTGACTGTGTGTGTGTGTGTGTGTGTGTTGCTGTTTGTTTAAGTGTGCCTCTTTGTTGCGTATGTGTGTGTGTGACTAGATATATGTGGCTGTGTATATTTGACTGTGTATATGTTTGTGTTTTTTCTACATCCATGTGTCTCGGTGTTTGTCTGCATGTTTGATGTGACTGTGTGTATGTCTGCGTGTGTGTATATGTATGTCCCCGCATGTGTTCGTCTGCATTTTTGCCTGTGTATGTTGATGTTGACCGCTTGTTGGCCGTGTGTGTCTATGTGGCTGTATGTATGTGTCTCTGTATGTGGGTGTCTGTATATTTGTCTGCGTGAGTGTATGTGTCTGCGTGTGCTGTCTGTGTGCGCGTGTCTATGTGTGTGTATCTGTGTGTATTGTGTTTGCGTGTATCTTGTGTATTTGTCAACGGGTGTCATTGTGTGTGTCTCTGTGTGTTTGTGTGTGCATCTTTGTTGTGTGTATGTGTCTGCATGTCAGAGTATTTGTATGTGGGAGCTGTGTAATGTTTCTGCGAATGTATTTCTATGTGTTTGTCTGAGTGCGTGTGTGTGTGTCTGTGTGTGTTTGTCTGTGTATGAATTGCTGTGTGTTTGTCTGTGTGTGTGTCAGTATGTGTTTGTCTGCATGGTTGTCTGTTTGTGTGTGTATTTGATTGCAGATGTGTCTATGTGGCTGCATGTTTGTCTGCGTGAGTGTATGTGTCTGCGTATGTATGTGTGTGTGTCAGTGTGTGAGCATGCATGTATATATGTCTGCTGTGTGTCTGTGTGTGTTTATATGTCTGTGTGGGTGTGTCTGTATTTGTTTCTGCGTGTGTTTTTGTGTCTGTTTGTGTGTGTCAGTGTGTGTGTCTGTGTGTGTGTCTGTAGGAGTGTCCGTGTGTGCATGTGTATGTCTTCATGCATGCCTCTATGTGTGCCTTTATGTATATATGCATGCATGTATGTGTGTGTAAGTGAACTGGTAATCAATCGTGTGTATGTTGGTGTATGCATATGGGTGTGTGTATGCAGGCGCGGGTTTCTGCATGTACTTTACAACTTATGCATTTGTGCCATTTATAATATTTATAAAATGCCTATCATAATATGATCATAACATGCTTTATTAGCAAAATACAACTGCTGTGCAAAAGATGGTTGACTGAAAGGGTCGAATGTAAGAGGAGCCTGCGTGCCCAATTAGTTACCCTTTGAAAATAAAGTTCGTTCGTTGGTTCGTTCGTTCTTCTTCTTCTTATCTTTCTTTTTTTTCTTCTCCTTCTTCTTCTCCTTTCTTCTTCTTCTTCTTCTTCTTCTTCTTCTTCTTCTTCTTCTTCTTCTTCTTCTTCTTCTTCTTCTTCTTCTTCTTCTTCTTCTTCTCTTCTTCTTCTTCTTCTTCTTCTTCTTCTTCTTTTTTTTCTTCTTCTTCTTCTTCTTCTTCTTCTTCTTCTTCTTCTTCTTCTTCTTCTTCTTCTTCTTCTTCTTCTTCTTCTTCTTCTTCTTCTTCTTCTTCTTCTTCTTCTTCTTCTTCTTCTTAATCTTTTTCTTTTGTAATTTACTCAGCGACTCGTAAAGTTTGGTTAGTTTTGACTTGCACCGATGCTTCTCTTGGATTAAGGTGTTGCCTTTATATGTTGTTTTTGGGGACAGTCTGGAAGGACATGATCTGTTGTTTCAGGAGCCACTCCACATTATTGGATAGATTTGACTACCAATGCCATGTAGCATGAACTTTTAAAGAAGTTACCATAAGAGATGGATGTCTAATTCATAAACAGCATGTACAGAAAGAAGGCAGTACTCACTTCTTGAACAATTGAGGCCGGAAAAGCCGGCTGGGCAAAGGGCAGGACACCCACCAGTAGCCACAAAACAGGTCTCCCCGTTAGGACAGTGACATTCAAATTCACAATCGCGTCCGTAGTGTCGAGCATCGCAGATGGAATCTTTGACACAAATGCAATTTCTAGCCATAAAAAGCATCATCAGAACTGAGTTATGAAATAATTTTAGTTGAAAGAAAGAAAACTGAAATCAGTAACAGGAGCTAGGATAGGAAATCTTTATTAATCGGTAGGTTCGTTTATATAACTTTGCTCTTTTCACTTTAAGCTTGAAAATCGCTAGGTTTCCAGACAGTTCTTCATTCAGCCTACTATACCTTTTTAGCAAATGTATCTTCAATGTATTGATTCCAGGTTCGCAGAATTGTGCTTCTGCTTTGCTTGTCAGAATATGTACCTCCGTACCATTGCTTTAAGGGCACTATGTCGATTAACGAGCCTAAAATGTTTCAACATTCAGGTCAGCATGCTGTTTATGAGCCAGCTCTCTTTGACGTTCAGAGCAGACAGTACTGTAGGATGTTAATGTTTTTTCACGTAGAGAAAATATTAGTTAATTGAAAATTCATTATTATGTTGGTAAAAGTAGCTTCTGCCACTGCATCTCCTTATCCTCCTCCTCCTCTTTCTTTCCAGGCTTCTTCTTCTTTATCTTCATTTTGCTTTTTTCCTTTCTAGTTCTTCTTGTTCTTGTTCTTCTTGGTCTTGTTCTTCTTGTTTTTTGTTCTTGTTCTCCTTCTTCTTATTCTTTTTCTTCTTCTTCTTCTTCTTCCTCGTCTTCGTCGTCGTCGTCGTCTTCTTCTTCTTCTTCTTCTTCTTCTTCTTCTTCTTCTTCTTCTTCTTCTTCTTCTTCTTCTTCTTCTTCTTCTTCTTCTTCTTCTTCTTCTGCTACATCGCCTTTTTCTTTGATTTTTCCTTCTCCTCCTGCTTCTGATTTTTTCTGCTTTTATCGCTGCTTCGCTCCCTGCTGCTGCGGTAGCTTCTTCTGTTTTCTTCCTCTACTTCTTCTTCCTTATCATCTTCTTCTTCTTCAAAAGTTGCTATACAGCTCTAGACAAACTCAATGAAACACAAATCGCAAAATTACCTCCATAGACTTCAACCTCACATAAAGACAGAATAAATTCCGAGTTGTTCACCATCACAGCTATCTTCTGAGTAGTGTAACCGTCCAACAGGATTGTATATTTGTCCTTGGGTTGTGTACTGTTGTCTGTTAACGAAAATAATGACTGATCGGAGGTCATGAACACTTCCACTGTGAAATGAAGTAGTCGATTCTCCATGGCTGCCGGCGAAAAATAACTAGTATAGTGGTAGTCATTGATTTATAATTTAAAGCTTAGATAAATAAAATGCTTTAGAATAATATCTCAGTGATGTTAAGTGGTTCTGATGCTTAGAGCGAAGGGAACTGTTTTCACAGTGCAGTCCATGTGTGTTAGTGTGTGTGTGGTGTGCGTGTGTGGGTGTTTGTTTGTTTGGGGAGGGGTGGAAGGGAGTGGTCTTGGGAAAAGTTCAATAGCATGGCTCTCTGACGAAGGTAAAGGGCTGGCACTGTGGAATAGGGGAGTCGCCGTGAGAGAGTGGGCCAGACGCTCGCCGCGGATCGGAAGATCGTGGGTTAGTTCCCTGGCAGAGCTGGATTTTTTTCAAAAATGACCTCGGCTCCCAGGTGGACCCAGTCTTGAGTGGGTACCGGGGGCAGTCCCTGGAAGTAGAGGCAGCCGGCGTGATGCTGACCACATTACCCAATTTGTGTCGATGGTCTATAAAATATAGGTTTAGCCCTGTAGGGCCTATACGCCTAAAGGCGTGGAAAGAGGTCCTTTACTTTTTGTTTTGTTTACTGTGGAATAGATTTCCCGTAGATTCTTAGTTAATTTGGTACCTTTCCGTATTTCCAGACGATAGTGTTATACTGTGCTATGGGGCCGCATAGGATTCACAGCCCATGGCGATGGCGAGTGTGACTAACAAGACCCGCCTGCGTTAAGAGAATTATTTTACACTTATAGCATGGGATTTCAGGACAGGTGTTTTCAACATTTACAAACTTCTCCACTCTTACACCATAACAGTTGATTGTTCCTTTCATACCTGTGTGGAACGACTCAATAATGCTCAGTAGAGTGGGGTGGGGAACAGGGTGGGGGAACGGGGGGGGGGGGGTGGACACAAACGTCTTCAGCATGCTAAACAGGTCTTTTCGACTAACCAAATCAAATTAAATACCATAGTTAGCAGCTTATGTATTACTCTTTTTACGGAGACGGCGAATTTCAAATCAAATTAAAAGAAGACATGAACTGATTAATTATAACACATATGAAATAATTCAATATAACACGCGATATGATGTAAACAATGCTACTGAAAATGGGTCAGCTGTTGCAACATACTCCATTATGTGAAGCAACACAAAATGAATGTTTAATGTTAAATCAAGAATAGACATCACAGCACTCGGGACAACCCCATAAGCGCTCAGTCCCCATATTCAGCATCATGCAAAGGTTTCCATTTTCGATGGTACTACTAAATGTCTGACTGTATATCCGTCTCGCCCCTCCCTTGGGTGTTGATTATTGGCCAGACTCCCCGATAACGTCCTGCAGCGGCATTCTCCCCAGACCATTTTCATCGAATTGCCCCTCCGCACTGTTTCCTCGCTCTCAAAGGGCCTGCTCAAAAAGCACACACAAAATGTGTATAGGTATTGCTTCTATTCAATTATTGCATTCGTTCTTGATTTGTTGTAGCTAAACATGCCATTTCTGTGAAACCTATAAAGTCTGACTGACTTTCTACCCCACCAGGACATCACACAAGCCAAAAAACACCTGATGACACAAAGTGCCACCATGTGGATGAGGATCACCGTGGAGAGGTCCCAGACACCTCGTTCAGCCATTAGGCCATATTAATGGCTGATCTATATTGCGGCCGCTGTTAAGAGCCAGAGTAGGGCTTCAAATAAGGAAAAATTTCATCCTAAAAAAGGACGGGAATTGATACCTAAATAGTTAATACGAATGAGAAAACTGTTGATCCAACACTATCACAGCAGAAGCTCTTACAGCAAACACAGGACAACAGAATTATACGGACATACGGAGCATACAAGGCTACACTAGACCTATGTTTTATAGTCATATCGGCACCTAGTCGGCGATGAGGTCAGCATCACACTGGCTGCCTTTACTTTCTAGGCCGTACTGGTATCCATTTAACACTGTGTCGACCTGTGCTCCGTCAGGACCCGAACCCCAGACATTCCGAGTAGCAAGCCAGCGTCTAGCAGCCACGCCACAACGAACTCCACACATAAAATATAGCCCAATAATATTAACGGCCTTTACTGGGTATGTACACAGAAAACAGAACACAGACCCCACTAAGTTTTACTTCAGTAAAGCAAGTAGCCTGAACACTAAACAGCTTTTTGAAGTTAAAATGCAGCTACTCTATCTACAGATGATACACCTAAAAGTTGGCGATGACATAAAACACATTTTACATCCAACGGAATGGCGAAAGTCAGAGCTAGCCATATATTTCTGGACCTTAGACTGGTATTCCCTTTAACTTTTTAGTCCGTATAGGCTTCCAAAACAGATGTTCAAGAAAGAAAACTGCCTGCATGAAACTTCACCATTTTATGCATTTCAAACAATTGAATTTTGCAGTAGAAGTGGTCACTGAGTAAGGCAGATCTCCTTCTTAGTCAGTGACACAATCTAGCAGCTTAGAGAAAACAGTATTCACTGTTTGAGTGGGATTCAAAGCACCACGCCAGTGACACATCACACGCTTTATGAGACTAAAATAGGTATGGATAAAGTAGACACTGCTTATTATTATTAATATTATTATGAAAATGATGATGCTGGTGATGACATTTTGAGGCTGGGCGTTGATGGTTTCACTAAGAACATGCCTAAAATATCAAATTTAGGGTGATGACAGTATGCAGTAAAAAAAATTAATTAATAACAGGGTAATTTCAGGTAAATAATTGACAACTAAAGACAAGATGCTCACCATCTCCCCTATTGTAAATGACAAATCTATGGACATTACGTGGTTTTGACAGAGTCACACTCCACGTGGGGAGATGGTCCCACTCTGTCTGACCGGTTCCAGTATGTGTGCAGCTCAAGCCATTATACAAATGTTGATCTGTGTTGCCATCTACTGCTTTGTCAGCCGTGAAACTGACAGAAACACCGCTGACCACTTCACTGTGAGTAGTATCTTGCGTTGCATTCTCTTTAATAGCTACATTTCGACCTGGCGGTGATTTCAGCGCATTAACATTTACATTATTTTGTCATTCTGTAATGATAGTTACAAATAGTGCACAACTTTACTGACATAGTATGACAATGATGATAATGATTTCTAACGGATCGACCACGCCGATTCCTTTAGATTATAAAACTATTGGATAGAATCATACGCTTGATTTATCCAGCTGATTCTATATTGAATAATTAGTGACCTTATGGTTGAATTGTGCATGGGCATGTGACTGGCAACTTCCAATAACACTAAACTGAAATTATTTTGGCGGTCTACTTTTGTTGGCACTCCTAGCGACTGCTTTTTGCATTTATCGCGTGTGTTGCGATGTTTATAGATTTTGACGGCACTATTTGCTTGTACAATAGTTTTTAAATGAGATCAAATGTTTTGGCTACCTGAATGTCTCGACAACATAACCTTGAGATCAGCTACAAAAATAAGAGGACGGCCTCGAAAATATGGATCGATAAAATTAAGACACTTTACGCAGAACAATAGGAAGCCAACACTGGATCGCAAATTGTTCCTCCCCACATCACTTAAAGGCAACAGAAGTGGTTATGGTGATCCTGATGGCTGAATAAATCAATAGTTATAAAGTTGATAAAACTGGATTCATTCTATACTGCTTTGTTGTACAGTTTTGGAATGTACGAGTGTCATGCAAAGAGTAATATCCCTCATTAATTTTTCTCAGCGAATAAACAAGAGAGAAGCATGAAATGTTGAACACTTTGGACTAGAAAAGTGAGTGCTGTATATGCGAGAGGGTACATCATTCCTCAAAAAAAAAAAAAAAGTAAATAAACAGTCGCGCCAATCGGTTCAAGTAGCATGTGGTCGGAATATGCGTTTATACAGTACTAGTATTTGGTCTAACAATTGCCAGATGAACCAACCTTAAGCTTGTCACCCTGGTCGTCAAGATAGTCAACTGATCTAATTCGCGACAACTTAACTCCAGTCTCACAGCACCTATTGCAAAGTCACCGTATCGTCTTGTCCTTATGGAGTCCAATGAAGTGCAGTTGGGGAAGATCGGGGCCTGGCTTCATGACCCAGGTCGACCCGCCTTCAGATATTGTTTAGAGAAGCAAGGGGCCGAAACAATTGTCGACGAAAGATCTCGACTGATGACTGGTAGACCCATGCTGTGCGTGCTTCTTTGCTGAGTTCTTCCTATTATTGCTTGAATTTATGGCTGCTACACGTAGACAATATGGTGAACATTCGTGAACATTTGTGTGCTATAAACAGATACTGTGCAACTGATAGGTGTACTGTTGGTCGCTGGGGTTAGATAGCTAACGCCTCAGAAAATGGAAAGACTTATCGATGATGTGTTTCTAGCTGCCTTGAAATGTCTGCATTAACATGGAAAAAGTTGATACTGGCAAGACGTTGAAGCCCTAATTTTGCAGCAGCGTAACATCAAAGAAGTAGACGGCTATTATGGTGACCAAAAAAAATATTAGTAATCTCACAATGAGTTATATTAGTGAATTTCCTTTATTCAGTACAATTTCTTTTTTTAAAAAAAGAGTAATAATTTTCAAAAAATCATTTAAAAAAAAAAAATAAGAATCCACATGGAATATATCATCACCATCAAGCGCCTGGACGACTGGCGTGGGTAATCTTGCCTCTCCACAATCTGCGTGTATCAATTCGTGTGTTGACACCGCTCCATGCCATGACAAAAGGCTGTCATAAATCTTCACGCGCTGTCTTCCTCTGTCTCTTTTTTAACAAATCTTTAAAGTAGACATAACATGTTGCATTTTAACTCTTCTCACAACATTAAAAAAAACAAAAAAACAAATATGACTGTCTCTTTCTGACGTTTGTGATAAGTTGTCTTGGAAAATTTGCCTCTTATTAAACATCTGGGTTACTCTTCTTAGCTGTTCAAGGAATTCGAAGGATTCCTCTTTCATCTACGGGGCCTCA